CGAGAGGTGTCAAATCTGGAGAACGAGGTGGCCATGCTATCGACCCTGTTCGACCAATCCACCGACCTGGGAAACGGTTATTGAGGAAATCCCGGACTTCTGTGAGGTAGTGAGGTGGTGCGCCGTCTTGCTGGAAGTGAATGCGTCCTTTTTGGTCATCTTCGTCTAACTGTGGTATGAGAAAATTTTCGAGCATATCCAGATACACGATACCGTTGATGGTTCTCTCATGGAAAAAGAACGGGCCGTACACTTTAACTTTGCTAAGGGCACAAAACATATTCACCTTTGGGCTGTCACGAACGTGTTCCACAACAGCACTAGAAACACGCGGGCGACCTGGAGATTTGTCATGGCGAACAGAATTCTTGTGCCAAGAGTAAATTGTAAGTCTACTGGGAGGATCCTTGCCATACTGGGTGCGAAAATTTCATTGAATCATTGTCGCAGATTTCGTTTCTTCAAACCACAGCACACAGCGAGCGCGCTCCGCACCTGTGAAAGTAGCCATTTTCAAATGCATTGCCGCTTGCGCTCGCGGTGACGGAATTCGGTACTACAGCACAACGTGAGTCAAACTTGATTTGTTTTGCTACAAAATGACACCTCAACCGATTCTGTAAGCTTTCTTATTAAATTTCTATACACTTTCAAAGTTGTAAAGTCCTTTTTGAATCACCTGGTATAAGCCAGTTGTACTAAACAAAGATGAATGATTTTGTTAAAGGCGAACCAGAAATTGGGGTATGTGGCTGGTTACTTCAATGAGTCATGCACGCTTCCAAAGAGTAGTAAGTTCAAAGAGGACACACTTGCTTCCTTTCTGGTCTATGCTAACTCAGTTCTCAATAATATTCGCCCATCATTCCTTCTTACACAAAGTATGTTCTTAATACAACATTGTTAAACATCCAATAAATCAACTAATTATGAGGTAGGTTCCAACTTAGCAACAGACATATTTAACTGTACGCGATTATGGCTCTGTGTTGTTAGTGTAATTTTTAATATTGCATTTCCTAAATTAACAAACCACAAGCCACCTACAATTGTAATTAATTATAAGTGGTACTAAGCCTGCAGCGTACATAGAAAATTTGTTATCTAAAAATATGTAGGGTATTTTAAATCTCATAATTTAAAGCATTTTTGAATCAATTGATAATAACAGTGATCGACTATCGATTTATTCAATTCACACGATAACCGAAGTCGCTTGCCATTCTAGCTCCAACACGGCAAGAAGACACACCCTGGCAGTGGAAAGGAATGGTCTCGGACAACAAACCTGATTCTTCAACACATATTGAGTGAATAGAGTAAGTATCTCTGTTGACTGAATGTCTAGCAGACAAATTACCAGACACAATCAAAGCTACAACAACAATAAGAAATTACAGAAGTGATATGACGTGGTAAACATTACATTGCTGATCAATATCGTAATTTATATATGATGGATTAATGCAAAGTGGTCAACTTTTTATTTCCTCGGGACAAAAACAGTTTTCTCGTCAGACCCAAGGGCCAAGAAACCTCACCTGGCACCATTTTCTAAAACTAATAGCCAATTTTTGTTATCCCTAACAATAATCATTCACAAAAGACAAACTGCCATAGTATATGCTCAAATATAAACGTTAGTGAAACATACACAAATTGCGACAGAGCTATATATTATTCTGAATTTGCTCCTGTAACAGCTTACATTTGAAATTAGAGTTTTAAAGTCAATGGTATATGCGGCACTTGTACCACTAATTTTTAAATCGTTCAGAAAAAATACAATAAATGATCTTAAAGTAACTGGTAACAAATTAACAAATAATTTCGCTGTTCTGGTTAGTCTAGGGCAGGATGTGGCCCGCGGGCAGCGGGATTAATATATTAATGTTTCTGATGATAAACAGTAATAGTGGGTTCAAAGGCGCTATAGCTCCTTCGGTTGTTTTGTATTAAGGCTGTATAGTCGGCGCAGTAGTTTTTGGCCGGTGGAATTTTCAAGGGGAAGGCTAGGAGCGAGTCACTTGTGCGATAGTATAATGCTGACTGCACCGAGGAGCTTATCGGACCGAACGCCCAAACAAAATAAATACACTGACCGTGCCACCTCAGGTACAGAGACTAGGCCCGTCCGCCAGCTTCTCCACCGGCCAAAGACTAGTGCGCCGACTATACATCCTTAATACTGATTACTGGTATTGTGAGGTTTAATAAATTGACAAAAAATAACAGGGCGAGGAAAATGAACTTTGGTAAACTTGAATATGGACGTTTATATTTGGGAGAAGCCAACAATAAAATTGCTTTGAAGATGTCTGTCTTCTTGGCTGTTGCACCGTGTTCTCTGGCATAAGCTTCTAAAAAATCATTTTCATACTCCGCCCTTGAGAAACTCAGATCTCGATTAAAATTGCCTTACGCTCCAAAAAAGACAGGTATGACGTGAAGCTAATGGCAAGAGTTAGTACAGTCCTTTTCAATGTAAAATTCTAATAAGGGTCTGGAAACAAAAATGCGTATTAAACAATGGCTACATGTAAACGTATTGAAATGGAAAATCAAGATTTGTTATGGGGCTGTTATTAATTCTTAACAACATTTCTAGAATAATTCTCGTAAATAAATTTTGTAGGAGTGTTTTAATAAACTAAATATTGACCTCCTAATTAAATTTTTCCTTTCTACATAACAAATTACTTAGTCTTACTAACTCAGCGGTAAGAAACTGAAATAGCCAATACCATTAGGCACGATCTTGATGCATATACTTCCATTCTCCTATCCTCACAACCGATATCCAAAAAAAAAAATCCACTTTAATATCATCCTCATCCTTGGTGTTCCGTTTTGAATAAACGTTTGCTAAATTTAAAATGATACCTCCATCTTTTAGGCTAAAGATGGAGGTAAAACGCTTCTTCAAAACGTTCGTACCTACAAGTCCACATAACGACGTTACTACCCATAAGACCATCGTCAACATCTTCATGGCTGTAAGAACCTCAAATCTCAAGTATCAAAATAAACAACGAATTTTCGAGAGAGACATGGGCTCTATACACCTGTACATACCGGGCGAAATGTAGTTTCTTATTCGTTGAAAATTGACCATTCAAACTCAGATTTTGCGTATTTCTACTCAGGTTCTATAGGCGAATGTTGTAATAACACATAAGATTTGAGGTTTTCACAGCGGTGAGTATGATGATTTCTGTCTTCTGGGTTCTTGCGCTGTGTAGTCTGGTCGATGGTTACCAACGTTTCAGAGGTCATGCTGCCTCCGTCATCAGGGCGCAACAACCCAGAAGACAGAAATCTCCATACTAAGAATCGCCCTGATGACGGAGGCAGTATGACCTCTGAAACGGTGGTTAACATCGACCAGACTACACAGCGCAAGAACCCAGAAGACAGAAATCTCCATACTAAGAATCGCCCTGATGACGGAGGCAGTATGACCTCTGAAACGGTGGTTAACATCGACCAGACTACACAGCGCAAGAACCCAGAAGACAGAAATCTCCATACTAAGAATCGCCCTGATGACGGAGGCAGTATGACCTCTGAAACGGTGGTTAACATCGACCAGACTACACAGCGCAAGAACCCAGAAGACAGAAATCTCCATACTAAGAATCGCCCTGATGACGGAGGCAGTATGACCTCTGAAACGGTGGTTAACATCGACCAGACTACACAGCGCAAGAACCCAGAAGACAGAAATCTCCATACTAAGAATCGCCCTGATGACGGAGGCAGTATGACCTCTGAAACGGTGGTTAACATCGACCAGACTACACAGCGCAAGAACCCAGAAGACAGAAATCTCCATACTAAGAATCGCCCTGATGACGGAGGCAGTATGACCTCTGAAACGGTGGTTAACATCGACCAGACTACACAGCGCAAGAACCCAGAAGACAGAAATCTCCATACTAAGAATCGCCCTGATGACGGAGGCAGTATGACCTCTGAAACGGTGGTTAACATCGACCAGACTACACAGCGCAAGAACCCAGAAGACAGAAATCTCCATACTAAGAATCGCCCTGATGACGGAGGCAGTATGACCTCTGAAACGGTGGTTAACATCGACCAGACTACACAGCGCAAGAACCCAGAAGACAGAAATCTCCATACTAAGAATCGCCCTGATGACGGAGGCAGTATGACCTCTGAAACGGTGGTTAACATCGACCAGACTACACAGCGCAAGAACCCAGAAGACAGAAATCTTGTAATAACACCTTACACAACAGATTTCTTGCAGATCTTCGCCATTTCAATACTCAAAACAACTCCATTGCAATCTAATGTACCCAGCTGATAATTTACAAGTATAATGTATACATATTCTTCACAGACTTCGAAAAGAACATGGAAGATCAACATACACAAACTTCACGATCTACAGCGCCAGATGCAGAAGAAATATCAGAAGAGAATATAATTCCCGACCAGCCTCCAGATTTGGAGCAACCAGCATTAACCTCACGCTGGGAGCTACCTCCGCTTGGGGAAGTGCCTCCATTTCCAGAAATGTCTCTACACCTCGAGCTACCTCGAGTTACGAATATTCTCGAAGAGTTTCCACGCATCACGGAAATGCTTCGACGCATGGAATCGGTTCCGGAGCTGCCTCCGTTACGGCCTACGTTTGCAGATTGGCTTGAACACCAGGTACAGCCCTTGCGTCTTCCGCCTCCCCTTCGACGCCCGGAATCGCTTCCGAGCCTGCCTTCGTTTGCAGATTTGCTTGAACACCAGGAACAGCCTCCGAGTTTTCTGCCATTCCTTCGGCGCCCGGAATCGCCTCTGGAATCGCCTCCAACTTTGTTTCCGGTTGAGGAATCACCTCCAAGCCCGGAGTCGTCCACACCCTCGGATCCCCAAGAAATATTAAGGGCTTGGGAAGTTCGGAGCGTCATAGAACCTTGGAGTTCTTTGCAGACTCGAGGAACGCAGGAAGATGAAGGCCAGGGGCCCTCGGGATCTACCCGTCGGCCCATGTCAACCACCGAGGAGAAAGAACCTTTAGATACTTTGAAGTGTCAACTTCAGAACCGTCTGGAATGTCTGATGTGCATTGAGATCATGGTGTCTCCGATTATGCTTTGCTGCAATGGTCACATGATATGTGACAGCTGCAGACCAAATCTGAAGATATGCCACTTATGCAGGTAGTGACCTATTTACTTCCCCATTTCTGTAACTATTAATACTTAAATAAGTTTGTTCTAAGCTTTATGGAGCCTTTAATGTGCCCTACTAGCTCTCGAGTGTGGTGTCTACGTGTACTTCTGCATAATCCCACGCGATATACAACCCAAAAGGCAAACACAGACATTTAAAAGCCGTGAGAATCTGACATCTCATATATTAATCTCGGTTATAACGACCAATGGTATTAAAACAGATAACGGATCTTGGAGAAATAATCCGTGTGGATGAAAATTGGATTAAACTGGCTATGGATCACGTCTATCGACTCGATTTAGTATCTGAGGCGTTTCGAATTCTACTATCTTAAAGGTAATTGTAATGCTAAACATTCTGACGAAAAATAATGTTTTCAATTGCGGAATTTTTTTTTTAGAGTTTTAAGTATACGTACGGTAAAAATCATAGACCATGCGAATGAAGACAGTTCAGAGCCGCGCGTTAATTGGGGAGGGGGAATTAATTTCGTGATGGCTGCTTTCCATTCTTTTGTCTAATGACGTAACGTTTCCTGTTACAGGGGAATTATCACCAGAATGAGGAACATCTTTGCAGAGAAAGTCTCCAGTCTCCTGAAGGCTAAATGTCGTTACACGTGGCATGGCTGTAAGGTCGTCATGGACCCCCATAAAATAAACACGCATGAATTATTCTGTCAATTTCAGCCTGTGGAGTGTCTTGTAGGAACCGGAACACAGGAAGTCCTGAAATGCGGTTGGAAAGGAAAGAAAAGCGACTTGCTAGGACACGTGATTGAAGAACACGGCATGGAAATGATCTACTTTAAGCAACGGATAGGACAAACTCAACCCTGCCTTCACATAGACGATTACATGCAGATTAATTTAGTGTGCGCACACGAAGAATTATTTTGGTTCACTTTGAAACACGACGCGGAGAAACACTTAGAAGCTGTTTATTACATTGGATCTCCAGACATAGCCAAACAATTTCGTTACAGACATGAATTTGTATCTGTTGATGGTAAAACGGGCATATCATTCTTCACTGCAACTAGAAGTATTTTCGAAGATGAAGGTAACATTTTTTCTTCCAAACCCTATTTTCAAATTGACGTCGAAATGTATAAGACACATTTTGTAGACGGCGACGGGCTGATACCTGGATATATGTTAAATATTGAAAAGTTCAGACGTAACACGTGGAATATTAGCCCTTCTTGAAGAGTTTCCTACCCCTGAATATTTCGGTCACAGCAAGAAATAAGGTTAGATTCTGCAAGGCTTTCGTATCATTTAGAAATTTGACTTCTGTCTTGTAATCGGCAGTTACTTTTATCATGAAATATAGCTAAACTGTAGAGCATAGTGGGTCTGTGTAAAAATAAATAAATAAATAAATAAATAAATAAAAACACATCTACTCATTATTTACTGAATTACCACATTAAATATGCAGGTAGACCTTCAATTATGAAGTGTCTACATGTTGAGTCACAAAGATTTGCCTAAACTGATATTTGCTTTCCAATAAAGCAGACGTATTTATAAATATTTACAAAACTCTTTTTCGCTGAGTTGCCTACATAGATCCAGAAGCGATGTATTACATTTGCGAATAATAAGAATGCGGTCAGAGCCAATAAACAAAGAACAGTAATTCGATTCCTTATTGTCAGTTTTTAAAAAGCGTGTCGAATGTAATGTTACAATATGTAAAACACGTGATTAAATTTAATTAAAATGTGCTCGCATAACGTTAATTCATTATATGGTTGGCTCAAATGCTGCAACCAGTTTAAAATGCTATTTGTTTAACCTTTCGAAGTCAAAGTTAATCTAAATATTACTTAAGAATTCAGACCGTACCGCAAAGAAAACACATCCCTTCACCATTACAAAGAAAACCCATTTTATGTTTTTTTCGGAAATTATCTCTTTTTACACTATTACATGAACCCAATTAATACAAAACGAAGTTATTTATTTTTTAAAAGTAGGTGGAATGTGTAGATACTACTTCTACGCCAGCCATTGCCAATTAATATTTCGGGGTCTCGGGTTCGATTCCCGGCGGTGCCCGAATTTATAACTTGTGTTGGGCAAGGCCGTGGTCTAGGCAACACGGAGTCTTCCTCCGGGGGCTTCCCCGGTTTCTCCGTGGCATCCCACCAATTACTCCATTCACACACAGAAGAAGGCAATGGCAAACCACTTCTGGATCATCTGCCAAGAACGTATATGAACAGGTCCCAGTCCGAGAAAAGGATGGAAGGATCCTGTTCATATGGACCTGTCGTCAGACAGAACACTAAATAATAATAAAAAAAACAAGCAAAAGCCGATGTCCAACGTCTACTTAAAGTTAATTACTTCATAAACCGTCAGTGATAAGTAAATTAAAAAGAACATTTGGTCAGCAATACAAAGAATACGTAAAACACATCGACAGCGAAAAATAACCTGATTATTCACCTACTCCTGAAAAATAACCAATGTCCGACTCGGAGAAATTGAGATTCTGACGGTGGCAACTCTGGTAGCAACAAATCAAAACAAGGCCACCGTGTGACCTGACGGAAGACGTTTTTAAATTAATTTAGTTTGTAAATAAATTTGATAATACTGCAATAAATTGTACCGCTGCTCACACAAAAATCTTAATTCCCGTCAACTTTTGACAGGCTAATCGTGAAAATACATTGGCTAACAATACAAACTATAGAGTTCCTCATTACATAATTTTTCCATCCTATTATCTCATTCTTTTTATCACACTCAGGATAAGAATTAATGGCGGGCCTTTTAAACTCTATAATGAACATTTAAGTTCCATAAGAGGCGACCTGATCAACTATAACCTTCTCAGGAATTACTGATCTACGTACGTAGTTAACCAATTACCATTCTTGGCACCAGCTTTAGGTATATCGCCCTGAAGAAGACAGAATTATTTCTGTAAATGATTAGGCGTACATACACTTACATAATATGAAATATATTCTCACATTCAAAGTCCACGGAAAATCTTATAGTTTATAACAAAATAAAATCAATAATGAACACACATTCACGAAATCTGTTTAAAATGTCAGCTAATAATATTCAAAATGGAGTGCACAACGGCAGATCACTCAACTGCGTTCAGCTACCAATTGCAGATAGCGTGGGATTTCTTTCTTTGAATCAACCTTATTTATTTTCCATGATCTTTATTAAATTTTATTTTGAGAAGGTAGCTCTTACAATGCAGATTCATGAGCTTTTAAAACAGCTGTCGTTCGGTCAGAGCGCAATGTCTACAGCCTATAAGTATCATGAGTTTAACCGGAATTACACACTTTTTAAAACAGATTTTATAATTACTACAGCATTACGATTAATAAAGTACGATAAACATTAGTAAAAAACTTAATTTTACATAAGTTTGTATGTCACGTCCAAAGTTACGTATAAAACAATGTTACCACCATTATCTAAATAACTTGAGCAATTTTCAAACCTCTGCCAACAGTTTCATAAAATTTCTCTGCATGTGCATTAAATTTTTATTTAAACAGCGCGTCCAAAAATCTTAAAAGTACAATAAATTCGTTTTCAATATAAAGTACAATCAGTTTTGTTCCTTGTGAATATAAAAAACAGAATCACCGACATTCAGAAGGTTACAGATTGGTAATGAGTATGATTTTCAGTGATTTTAAAACGTGTCTGGGCTAGAAAAATAAAAAATCTCAGTGCACTTAGAATCCTATTAATTCGTGGCTTTCTGAATTGTAAGTTTGTACCAAGGCACATGTTTATTAATATCGACAAATAATTTCTTGAAAAAATTAATGTCTATATGTAAGCAGAGGTTAGAGTCTAGAACCGTACCGATGTCTTCAAAGCAGTTTATCGTTGAGCTGAGGAAAGAGATGACAGTATTTCCGTCAAGAGATGTAAGTTCATGTTTATATTGAAATTGTTCGGCTTTCCTCTTAGATCCAATATACTGAACAACTTCCAGGCGCGTGTTATTCTCCATGTCATTTTTTGCAGTCAGCCAGAACAGATCTCCGACCGCGCACACCAACGTGACCTTGACAGAGGTTCTGTCAAACCCACCGCACTCTATGCCTTCCACCGCCTGACCCAGACGAATCATTTCCGCGCCGTGCACAGAACGAACATGTTCCAAGAGCTCGCTTTTCATTCCTTTCCAGCCACATTTGCTCACTTGTTTCTCACCTTTCCCTGCGAGGCACTCTATAGGCAAGTAGGGGCAAACATCTTCGTGCTGCGATCGCTGATCGTGATTCACTTGTTCTCGACACCCGTATTTCGAGTATCGACATGTGCACATTATCAAGTTCGATACAAATTCAGCGAAGTCGTTCCTTAGTTGAGTGATATCGGACCTGGAAACATGGGAATTTTGAGAAGCAGAAACGTTTCAAATCTGTCTCAAGTGCGACTAATTTCTGAAGCCCGGTGATGAGAAAATGGTCGCGACTAGTTCACTACTTAGAAACATAACCTCAATAATAGATCGATGTTGTATATTTTGTATACCTTACCTAACCACATTTTAAGTAGTAGGAGTAGTAGTGGTAACAATATAAAAAACATAAGACCTGGAACTTATTTTAAAACTATAAATATCACTCACAAACCTTTAAAAAAAACTATTACGTCATCATTAACTCTGATGGAATTCCTAATAACAAAACTGACGTAAATATTAAAAATAATAACACAGCTCTAAATGAAAACAGAATTAGATCGGTTTCAAACAACCCCTTTTAACACGTGTAAATCATGCAGTCTCTTAAAGAAATATGCCCACTACACGATAAAACTTTCATAATACCATAATTGTTAAATATTAATAAAGCATAGCTATACTTGTAAAGCTACTAGTCGCTCAACTAACCATGAAATACTACTTCTGAGTTCAAAGTATTTTGTCTTCCCACCTGATTTCTAATAACCTGAAATTTAAAGTGTACAAAACAATAATTTTGCCTGTTGTGTATGGGTGTGATACATGGTCTCTCACTCTGAGGGAGGAACATAGATTGCAGGTGTTGAGGGATGGGCAAGAGGTGTTCGTTTGGAAGCCTGAGGGGAAGAGACCGCTGGCGAGACCTAGACGTAGATGGGAGGATAATCTCAGGCGGGATCTATGGGAGATAGGAGTTGAAGGAAACTGGATTTTGTTGGCCCAGGACAGGGTCAGGTGGAGGGCTTTGGTTAATTCGGTGATGA